TTCTGGTCACTGGAAGAATGTGGATGGACGTCGAAAAGCAGATCCAAGCCTTCAAACGCGATTTATGGAAACGACTCAGCAATGCACAATCTACCTCACCAGTTGGCGCAGGCGGTGTGCAAGCTGAGGAGCATATGGAACTTATAGCCGCTCTCCTTGAACTTGGAGTAGAGGATAACCCAGTATGGGTCTGGCTCCTTAGCCGCTATGACTACTTGAAGAACAAGATTACTGCCTTCTGCCAAAGGTCAAGGTTTGAGATTGAGACTCTAAGGCGACGGCTTGCCGCCGGGAAGAAGCCTGATCCACAACTTGTTGCTCCCTACCTGCGAAATTCTCTAAGCGAAGGATCTAGACCCAGCAGACACCACCTTGATTCAGAATCAGTAATTGAACTCTGGGAATGTATACACACCTTCTTAAAGAAGCTACTTTCCGTCCAAGGCGGCATTCTTGGAGATGTACTTGGGTTTTGGGATTCCACACAGTCTTTTCTTGATGGAAGCAAACAGAGATTGTTACCCGCTGGATTTGACGGTGAGAGCCGGAAACATCACCGCCTGTCCACCAACGGAGTCAACGATCTCAAAGATGGCATCATAGAGCTTATGGGTCTGATCCGCGACAATGTTGTCACCATTTTCGCGGAACCTCCTGAAGACCTGGCCTCTCTCATCCCCTCTGCTCTGCCAACAAGTCCAACTGTACCCCTTACTGGGCTAACACCAGAATCTCGTTTGATAGTTGATCCCCAGAATATTCCTCCGCTACCAGAGAAAACAGGGCAGCCGTGGGATGATTTCGCATTCTGGCCGCCCTACTCAAACTCCCTGAGTGGAGTGCATTACCTTGGTGAATTCTTAATATTAATCGGCACTGCTGCAAGCGAGATGGCTTCTCTAAACCCCATATCAGGCCACAGCGGCTCCTATGATAGACTGAAGCTCCTGGTGAGCGGAACCCGTGAAAGATGCGCTCGTGCTGTTTGTGCCGCGTGGAACAGTGATGCCGAACTCTGCAAATATCTCGAAGATTGGACGCGGCACCAAACAATTAAAAGTTTGAGTAAAATGCCCAGTTATTTTATGACCTTTGAATCTTCAATTCTTTCTGGGATGCAAAAAATACTATATATTTCCGAATCGATGAGAAAACCCGGTGCGGTGGAAGTTGTTACACCTCCTCCGGCGAAACTTCTCCAACTAGTGAGAACGCAGTTCGTGACTAGCGTGTACAAAGCCTTGAGTGGCCTAGTTGAAAACGCTGAGCACCCAGTGAACGCTGATGTCGACGTTGAATGGGTACTTCCTAGCCCTGAAGGTGCAGCAACAGGTCCAGATACCCATTCTTCCGTCTTTGCAAGTGGAGGAGTTGACTCAAACAACAGGGTTAGTTTTTCCAATACACCTACGACCTTTCTTCTCATTACTGGATACTTACATTCAATATTTAGAACGTCCGTATATTATTGACTCTATCCAATCTCAAAGCTCTCCGTGCTGAGCATGTACCGCAACTCATCACAACATTCGAGTCTTCATTCGCTGTGAAACTAACGGACGAATCGAAAACCATCCAAGATGTACTGGGCCAGATTGATATCCGTTTGTTCCAGTCATATCTCAAACCGATAGTTGAAAACCTGAAACATACTATCCTTGAGGGAATCGCATCCCCTGACTGGGTTCCAGCAAACAGTCGCCCAGATCAAATCCGACCCTACGTATATTCAACCATGCTCTCACTCGTAATGGTTCACAATGAGGTCTCTACCACCCTGCCAATGAGGGTTCCAACTCCCCAGTCTTCCTCCTCATCTAATCTGACCAATAAAATTCTGGCTGAGCTTCTCACTCAGGTCTCCAGTGCTCTGCTTGAGGCATTCATGAGACGGTCCCAATATACTCTGCCTGCGCTCATGCAAGCTACCTTGGACACGGAGTTTATCGCCCAAACACTATCTCAATACTCGACTGATGCCGCATCCAAGGTTCAAGGACAAATATACCTTGAACTAGACCGCAGGACCACCAACGATGCTCGTGCAAAGCTACAGGCCGAACTTGGTGAGATGCGTGGCGTTTTGAAGAGGTTGCGGGAAGCCACTCGTGGAGAATTTGCATGCTTCAGGAAACCGAAAACCCCCAGCTCCTCGAAGTAAATACCTTGAACGTATATATGAGAATCAATGCATTTATGAAAACAAACAAGCGTTATCTATCTTCAAAAGATCTAAATAACTACAAGCTAGCTGAATTGAGCAGGTAGATAAGAAATGAAAGACGAAATAAAATTCCAAGCCACCCATCCATAAAAAGGATCTTAAACAAGAAACTTCCAACAATATACACGACCCGGAGCTAGAAGAAGAATATATCCTCTTCATCCCAATGTTGTTCAAGAAGCATCTTTTTCACAGACGTCTCTAGGGAAGCAGGGCCACAAATAAGCACCATGCTGTTCTTTGAACGCGCGACGTGTCTGGATATCAAATCCTTCGAGATCCTACCACGATATCCACACCATGACTCTGATGCCTGGGTCAAAGTGTGAACAACCTTCAATTTATTCTTTGTATCACATGATACAAATGAAGCCAGCTCTGAACGGCACATAATATCATCTTCCGTGCGGTTGCCATCGAGAAGGGTACAAGTTGTTGTATCTTCTGCATCCTGCAAGACTGCTCGGAGAACCTGGAACATTGGTGTGATACCACTTCCACCACAGATCATGTTGAATGAGGATATATTCCGCTCTTTGCCGTCTATTGTTACCCTACCTCGACCGAGATATTCAAATTTGCAATGGGAGGACAACCTATAGTCCACTTCTGCACCAATGGGTAACTTGTCTAGGGGGACAGTAAGCTGCCCGCCAGCAAATCCAGGAGCTGGTCGGTATATTTTGATGAGAAGTTCCATGCTTCCTTTCAATGAGGGATCGGATAAAGGAGTAATAGCCCTGATGACACCACTGGAAGGGTCATTCGACCTTGTATTGACCTTCAACATAATATGTTGGCCCACACCAATCCCTAGAACCTTTGACGTGTCTGCAAACGAAAATGTGAACAATGCTGTGTCAAGTGATAGGACCTTTTTCTTTGTCAACTTCACTTTTTCCCACTCGTGGATAACTGGAAGAGGCTTGTTAGATTCCCCCTGAGAGCTCTGCAGCTCACGGAGCGCAGCAGGATCAAGTGTTCCGATATGGTAATCAGGCATCATGGCCTTTGCTGATTCACTGTCTAAAATTGATGTAAGCCTCTGATCAAGTACAAAGTGGATGATGTAAACTCACGGATAGCCAGGAATTCATCTGTACAATCTGTGGCCGCTGTCGAAATGATACTCTGGGCACCTCCTGGGTGACCCTCAAGGAACGGAGTACCATCATATACTTCGCCTTCGACCACAAACCAGGGATCAGTCTCGCGGCTGTTATGTTCCTTGAACTCCTCCAAGGTAATGTTAACCTTCAGCCCGGGCTTTTTCATGTTAATCTCAGGCTCAGGAGCTACCTCAACCCGCTTAACAGCACCGTTTGGTGCCTCTCCCCAGTTTCCATCCGTTAAGTCACCCCCTGCCTTCTTGACTTGCTCCATCCAGCCTCCAGGCTGAGTGGCAGGCAGAGTGGGGTGTTTGAATTTCAATACACCGTTCTCCTTGGAGATAGTGATGCGGAACCATGGGTTATTCATCATCCCAAGTACAGACCAGTACATTTCTCGTGGCTGGATGTTCAAGGCTTCGTCCATGGCTCGGACAACAATGCTGTCTGCAGACTCAAGCTCATGTGTTTGCACCTCCAGTGACCAGAAACACCAGCAGAAGTATGTCTCCCGCCAAGAAAGGTCAAGTTGACCACCGTAGAGATATTGACTTGTTGCCCTGTACTTGTCTTCGTCGTACTTTATATTCGAGAGTCGCCATGCTACACAAGTCGACGTTAGCGAATTTGCTCATATGATTACAGGAGGTATGGGCAGCCTACTTTTACCGCTGTCCAAGGAAACCTCTATCCTTGAAACCTGTCTTCCACCGCCCCCATAGGCATAACCTTTGATGGTATATGTAGGCGTTGTGGACATTACCACTTCTTCATCATGTTGTGGGTAGGCAATTGCCGAATTGACGTTAAGATGTTGAATCACATAGCGTTCATCACGCCACCAACTATCATCTTCGGTTGCCATTTCAGGGGAGCACATTGTTCTTTATCCTCTTAGTGAAAGACATAATGATACGGAATGACGGTACTTACGGCAGCACTCTGTTGTCATATATGTGATACCAGTTATCACTTGGATTTTCCGTCAATATTATCCTGGTGATCCATTTCACACTCCTACCCCCTATGTGCCCTGGAATAACTGCCCTGAGCGGCCAGCCATGATCTTGACGGAGAGGCTCTCCATTCATCATGTAGGCAAGCATAACGCCCATAGCTGGATCCATGGCTGTTGAGAGCCTTATGGAGGTGCCGTAGTTTCCGTTTGGCTATTAAAAAATGAGTATCAGGATGCTTATTTCTACTTCCGTCAACGGGTGTCAACATACCAAAGCATCAGCCCCTTCCATGCACATGTATTTTGCCCGTCTATCCGGCTTCGCTCTGGTCAGGATGTCGTGCATCATTGGCCCCGTGAACAAGGCAGTTGATAAACCTGCTGCACCCCAGTTGAATCCCTTGGATTTTCGAACCATATTTTGCTCTTTACGACGATTTCCGGCGCAAACGAGGGTAACAGGACAAGTAACCTGTCGAAAATCGGAAATTATCTGTCGTATAGTCAGGACAATAGGGTTCTCAACCAATCTAAATATTAAGGGATTAGCCATATAACCGGAACCTCATCTGGTCCAAAGATGCTTTACCCTTCAATAGATAGCTCCCAGTTGAGGATGTCATCTTGCTCAATAACAGGAACTGCCCCGTGGTTTCGAACAAAAAATAGTTCAGGGGATGTCAGGAATCCTAAGTCATACCGGCTAACATTAGAATCGAATATTGCCTGTAGCAGCACATACAAGAGGAATAGTACCTTCGTCAAACAAGGCAGTAAGAGGAGATTCAGAGTTAAGCGGGTGAACACCAGTCAACCGGATTTGAATAGGGTCCCTTGGAACATGTCCATCTGGAGTATCTTTGTCTATACCCAAGATCTCCAAAGGCTTCTTAGCTGGAGGTGGAAGGGGAATGTCAAATGTATTCACAAATACATCCCCATTCTTGGTGGGACTTTTCAAGGAAGATAGGCCATTTTCCTTTCCATTGAAAATGGGCAAAGGCTGTATCTGGATGGGTTCAATGGACGGCATGATGGCGTTATTTGGGGAAGAATATTCTGTTTTATCTAAGTAGATAACCACATTCCTGTCCAAGTAGCTCTAAATTTCATGGGAATAAAAGCAGAATAAATACTGCTCCATTCTCCTCTTCCCCAGGAACACCAGCGGCTATCCAGGTAAAAGTTGAAATGCATCCATGCTGACGCAAGCCCATTCCACGGGGCATCCACGGGGCACAGCGTATCCCAGGGGGGTCCAGATGAGATCACCCATCCTGATATGAAGGGTATCGGCGTCTTGAATCATGGGCGTGCAACCTGGCTTCTGTTAACCAGCAGCATGCTCTCAGAGCTGGCTTACAGTATAGAATCGAGCACAACCCAGGGCTCCGCGGAGATATATAGATCACAGGCTCCCTTGACCAGAAGCGATAGATCTGCATTTTGAGGCGTGCACATCCAGACAGGCTGATAAATGGTATTCGGGGGGATATCATTCCGCAGCCGCTGTGCAACAGGAGTGTTTCTGGTGGAATCCATCTTCGACGAGGATTGAGAGGACGAGCATGCAACGAGTAGCGATATCAAGCTTTTGGTGGGCTCGAACTGCATGGGCTTATGCAGGATGGCGGAGGCTGGGCGGGATCCCTGTTCCCCATATGCGCAACCAAGTAAAGCTTGATTAAGCTTGAAATCCTCCTCACTTCTTCAAGGGTTTGTTTGAACGGGTATGATTTCGGCATTTTCGTCGCACTGGAAGAGATAGATAGTTATCAGAACAAGAGTAAACCGATGGGAGGAAGCCATCCTGCGGTGGCAGGCCCTTGGAGCAGCCATCGCTTCAGACTCCCACCATTGTTATCCCCCCCAAAAATAAATATAAGACCAGATTTGACTATGTTAGGCGACGGAGAACCCGTGGGCCTAGACTCCTGCAGTCTTTGAGCGACGTTGAACGGTCGAAAACGACTGACTAGTTACTGTAAGACGTTTCCACAAAATAAGTTGCGTATGCATCTTGAGAATGCCGTAAATTCCATTGCATACTTTAATCACACCGACAGTTTGCCGGATTTTCCAAGGGAGGATTCGGTTGCTCCAGATGTAGTTACAGCATTGGCCATCTTTTACTGGATCGTGGGAAACGTCATCAATCAGCCAGGCGTCCTAATCTGTGCCTAGAAGAAGTGAGACAGCATCCCTAGACTAGTTCATCAAACAGCGGCAAGGGTGACTGAGTTGTCCATCACATAACCCCGGTAACTTGGGGTTATTCACTTAGCAGGTAAAATATGATCCAGCTATCCCGAATCTCAGTGTCATAAGGCAGATCTCTCTCTGATTCAATAATCTTTTGGACGTAAATATCCCAGCTGATCCCCTCAAGGAACTATCCTCTGCCGATGACCTGACCTCATGTTTTGCACGAATATGGCCATAGGGAGCCTGTTCATATATTTCAGCAGCATGGTGGTTATACGCCTAGTCAAAGAATCAGTATATCTAAATTATTGGCCCGGGATCCGGGTGCCGGTTAAGATTTGGATTGTCTCTTAGGCTCCGTCACTCAGCAGCTCCCTATTGAAGGAATGGAGTATCATGCATGTTGCATTAACATTTCACGAACAGGGGATAAATTGGCCACACAAGAGGCACATGGGGTGCCTATGGTCATGCCGAAGTAAGATTTCAGCAATCCAGCGGAAGGGGCTTAGACCCGAAAAGCCGGTCAGTTCATACACTTCGCGATCTCGACGACACTCAGTCCTCGCCATACATACGCCCGCTGTCATAGGTCAGCTAAGTAAGATCAAGCAAACAACGAACAGGATAAAGTAATTACCACCTTGAAAGAATTAGCGGAATAACTCCCTTCTATTTGCCGGATCTCTTGATATGATCAGAACCTTTCTGCACATCCCGTACTGGAAGATACATCTGGCAAAGATCTTTTCTGACTCCTTAGACGGGGCAGCCTCTAAGGTCGTATTGTCGAAGAAAGAAACATCCTTCACATTATCTGTGGCATGAAGATTTGTTTCAGGCATGGTATCCTCCCAAAAAAGGAACTTGATGGATCGGATAAGGAGGATCACCACGAGAACAAGCGATAGGCCTCTCATCTAAAAATGCCTCTCAGAGTAAGATGGAGGGTTACTCACAATAGACCCTGCAGCTGATAACTGCCAGCAGATGACCAATAAGCATCCCATGTTCAATAATCATCTGGTCCTGCTCTGATCCGACTTACAACCGCGTCTCGGTGAATCCCTCCACAGCACGACGATGTTCAACAAATCTGGGCAGTGAGCAGCGTTCAAAATCATAGTGAGTCCGAGTAAAGGCAAATCCGTTTCTTAATTAAGCTTATCTGGCTTTGCCAGGTATATATGCACCCGTCGTATCCCAATATGGTATCTAGCGAGATCTCCAGTTGCAATGACACATAAGATCAGAATCGTGGCTACCATGCAGTAGCGGCAACGATTCGAGGCCACAAGTCCCGAGACTTCAACTTCACCCCTTACACAGCCGCATTGTCAGCTCAAGTTAGGTAGTTAGGGTTCGCTTGTTAAGCATTCGGGCCCTATTTAACCGTACCGACCCTCCCGGCGGACGGACGATGTGGACATGGGTATCAGGCAGATCAGCAACGAAACACACAACCAGAAAGGAGCCGTCTCGACGAGGACATTCATTAGACCTCCTCATTCCATCTGGAGGCACTCGGCTTCGGTCTAATAACTATAACGCCGATAACTAGTGGCGTCCATCTCGTCTAGAAGCAGTCAGGATCCTTCGCTTGTTGAACCTGGCTGCATCGACATCTTCCAGGGTCGGCCCCTCGGCCGGCGTAAGGAATCTCCGCGGAAATCAGAATGAGATATCGCCATGAAATCAGGCTCAAACAGGATATATATCGCCTGCTAACTCGCTGCAGAGTTGTGCAAGCTGTCAGTAAACAGCCAGAGGAGCGAGTGGTTGCTAAGGCGTTGTAGGTTTGGTCGCAGCGAAGTCCAGGAGGAGCAACAACAACGGCAAAACACGTGGTTTGCACAGCTCAAGACTTCTCCCAGCTTCTCTTATTCTTGAAGACACTCGCTGCCTCGCTGCTGACCTCGTGTGTGTGCATGTGTATGGGATGGAAGCGATCCCAACGCCAGCTGTGAGCGTCATAGGCTTCGTTCAGAGCCCCTTCGGGTGGTATATAACTAACTCGTCAACGTCCATGACTCCGTCGTGTAACTAGATAACTAACCAGCTGGCTAAGAAACGCCTCGTCCATGCGTTCGCCATGAGGGCTCCAAAAACTTCCCCCTTACACCATCAGGATCCCATATGATATCAGGAATATTCGAACAAGGCACACCGATAAGCGGTAGTATGCAGGTGTTCCGAGGGATGTCAGCCCCGTTGTGAGATTGTCCTACATTGCCCAGATATGTCCAGCCATATATACCTTCTATCATGATACGTCAAACAACCTGAGATGGCACAGGATAATATCCATCAGCATGAGCTCCCCTGATTATAGTCCCTGGGAAACTGTATCAGCAGGGTAGGCCGCTGTCAACGAGATGGCAGGTGTCTGCTCAAAGTCATCCCCTCCGTGCGCTGGTGTGATATCGCATCTGATCACGGCCAGGGGATATCGGGTCACCTGTAGGTCAGCCACTCGTGGGAGAAGGTACTATGCTGTTCGAGACCATGGATATATTATTATCTATCGGGAGCTCACAGTTGATCCTGATGATGGACGACTCGGGCCCTTGACTTCATTTTAAGCGATATCCCTGGGTACATCCCAAAGTTCTTCAGAGCTTGATATCTACTTCTCTGCCTTGGAGAACAATGACACAAGCAACTGGTTAGGATAGCCCATACAGCTCATCAAAACTAAATGTAGCGGCGTTAGTTCACCCTCTCAAGATTGCAGCTAAATGTTGGATATATATACTAGATATCAACAGGGTCATCTGTCAACTCTATATACCCCAAAATAGACCTACAGGCAGCTAAAAATGCAGCTGATATATGTTCTCCTTGCAGCGTGCACCGGTGTATCTGGGCATATGGAGATGAAAATGCCTTATCCATTTAGAAGGTGAGTGCATTTTAGGACAGCAAAGAACTGTGGCATCTTACTAACATCGATTATAGCAAATTCAACCCAGAAAACAAATATACTGATATTGACTACTCTATGACCAGCCCCCTGAATGCCGATGGTATGAGTTACGCCCTATCGTTGGAATGGAGCAACAGCAAGGCGGAAATATAAATCTGTTTCAAGGCTGACCCCCCCCTTCTGTAGGTTCGAATTTCCCTTGCAAAGGATACCATTCCAACACCACTTTCCGTGCAACAGCAAATTACACAGCTGGCCAAATATACTCCCTGGAACTCACCGGCACTGCAACTCATGGCGGGGGATCCTGTCAGGTATCCCTCAGCCTCGACAACGGCACATCTTTTCGGGTGATTAAATCCATCATGGGAGGATGCCCACTTACGGGCATGTACAATTTCACCATCCCCAGGGACACACCGTCCGGAAGGGCTATGCTGGCCTGGACCTGGTTCAATCTATTTGGGAACCGTGAGATGTATATGAACTGTGCTCCAGTGATGATTAATAACTGCGCTTCAGGCGCTTCCAGGACGTTGAATCCTGAGCTCCCGAAGCTGTTTGTAGCTAATATCGGAAATGGCTGTATGACCATCGAAGGGAGAGAGACGGTGTTTGCAAATCCGGGGTGCGATGTTACCTATGGTGGAAACGTCACTGCTGACAATCCCCCAATGCCTAAATGTGAGTAAGAGACTCGCCCGGGAGTGTTTCAAGTGGCAGAACGCGATAGCTACCCGAAGCTCGATATTATACCTCAGAATCGCGCTCGCGACTTTACTTACAAGCCGGATTACCGCATCTCTAACGCACGAAACACGACTGATAACCATATTATATTTTACCTGCGGCATCCGCCCTTTACCCCTGTTTTCGCCATAGTTATAAGCTGCTGGGTCTCT